TGCTGAAGCAGAATATAGAGCAATGAGAAAGCTGACTAGTGAATTGACTTGGCTGAAGGCACTACTCAAGGATTTTGTCATTGAGCAATCGACTCCCATCACAATGCATTGTGATAATCAAGCGGCTATACACATTGCATCAAACTCAGTATTTCATGAGAGGACCAAGTCGATTGAAATCGATTGTCATAAAGTCAGAGAGGCAATTGAAGAAGGAGTCGTTCTCCCATGCTACACCAGGAGTGAAGACCAGCTCACAGATATCTTCACCAAATCCGCAAGTCTCAAAGTTTGCAAACATATCTTTGACATACTAGGGCTTGTGGATCTCACACGCCCTTGATCATGCTTTCTGATCCATGGACATCACACTTTTTTTCCCTTAACAGAGTTTTGTCCCATGAGGTTTTCTCTGTTAAGGTTTTTAATGAGGTGATGCTCATGGGTTGTCAAGCTTATCTCTCTAAGGATTCTAAGCGACTTTTAGTGCTAAGCTTGAGGGGGAGTATTGATCAAGTATGGGCCAATGTGTATTCACACTAGGCCAGAATAAGAGAAGGACCAAGAATAATGTGAGAAGCCCAAGAGAAGCGGTGTAAAAGAGAAGCGTCCGTACAGTGGTCCCCTCTCAAGGTCACGGGTCTGTTTGAGGTCAATATGACCGTTGAAGCTGTCACTCTCATCTCCGAGATCTGAGAAAGCTTGGGGCTATTCCTACACGTGATTCCAAGAGTCTAACCACTTATTTGTCTTCTTCTTTGTAACCTAGACCTAGTTCACTCTTTGTCTCTCTATGAATGTAGTCTGCCGATATTATGGAATACACACTCTTTTTGGAGACTTATTCTCTCAGACTCTTTCTCTCTTTCTCTCTTAATCGTTCATACTTAATCTCTTTATTCCGCATTTATAAATTCCAACATTTAAGATAATTTTTTAAAACATATTTGGAGAGGAGAAAATTTAAGCGCAGCTCTGAGTTCAAGCTATGCAAGTCCATGCTTATGGTCCTCATTTTAAAAAACAATTTTGGCTTTAAAAAGTAACTTTTGGATTAATGGCAAAATTATAAAAATCCTATACTAATAAAAGTTGAAGCTAAATGCCTCTAAAAGTGTCCACATAGAATTAAAAGGAAAAATTCTATTGGTCCACATCAATATTTAAAATTAACAAAGTTTACGAATTTTAATATCATTGCTAACAAAACAAATCTATATTTTTTTAATCTCATTACTAATAAAAGTCGAAGCTAGGTGTCCATATATGATTAAAAAGAACAATTCTATTGGTCTACATTAATATTTAAAATTAAAAAAAGTTTACAAATTTTAATATTATTGCTGCTAAAATAAATATATAAAAACAAGGAAATTATGTATCAAATTTGTATTAGTCCATCACAATATTGAAAATTAAGAAAGTTTCCAAATTCTATTATTATTTTTAAAAATTATCAAAGATAAGGAAATTATTTATAAAATTTAGATTAATAATAAAAACTAAAATAATATTAAAGTAGGAAAATTATATAAATAATTAAGAACAAATTATTTAGTAAAACTTCTTTACATATACACACATATTTAGAAACTCCTACATTAGCATCCAAATTTTTATCACATAACTATTAAAAAAAAAAAATTAATTTTGTTTGTGTGTGTGAAACCATTTCAATTTAATAAAAAAAACAAAAGAATAGAGTTAACTTTCACTAAGGAATGAGTCATTACAACGTAAAAGAACCAACTTGGCTAAATAATATATTAAACTATTAGCTCAAAAAAGAATATGATGAAAGTAGATATAGACAAAGCCACTACAAACCGCTTTAATGTCGAGAAAGAGACCATAATTCTCCAAAGCTTGACCACCATATTTGAGAAGAATGATAAGTTCCAAGCAATCCGAAAAAACATATCAAGTGATTGATACCCAATACATTTGAAAAACAAAACGTTGAGAATAGAAGAAGAAGTTCTCGCATTAAGGCAGAGGAGACCGAGGTATTGGAAAGATCCTATTTTAATTATCGAGAGTTATATAATTGAGAGTGTGTTTAATATATGTCACTGGATAAAATTACAGTTTCTATATGTTCCACGTAAACGAAAAGCATATTTATTCTGTCGGTTTTTTTAGTTATTAATTTGTTTTAATTTTCATTACATAACTATTTTTGTTTTGGTTTCAAAAACTACTTTTCTCTTAGATACGAGAATAAGATTTGTGCTTATTAGTTTGCTTTTTCAATTACAAAACTGAATATCTGTATTAATAAAGTAGTTAAATTTTAAACTATTTTGCTTTTTCTGTATTCCATAGATAACATATATAATGAGAATGAAATTAAATAAAATGGAAAAAGACTTATCTACTTTGATTGGAAGAAGTGAGATATAATCATTAAAAATTATTTAAAGGTTAACATAGATAATATGATACAAGAAAAAAGTTGCCATGAATCTGAAAGCAAGAATTTTAATTATTAGTTTCTTTTTCAATATAGTATAATAAATTAGAAGTTTGTATTGGTTAAATTAGCTAAGAAAATAAAATAATTTTTATATTTATTATTTTTATTATTTTTGTTAATTTTATAGAAAATATATATAACGAAGATGAAATTAAAACGATAAAAAATGATTTTATTAATTAGGAAAACTGATGTATAATTTTTAATTTTTGTATCAATATTATGATTATTAAATAGCATTTGATTACTTTGTTATATTTTTAGTTAGCTTTAATATACAATTTATAAATATTATACCAAATTATAAGATTTCTAAACAAAATATATTATATATTCAAAATAAGACCATGAAACCTCATAAATAAGATATAAGTGTTAAGATTAAAACTGTAATTTTTTATACATATTATTACATTTAATAATATACATATTTTTATCTTAGTAAATATATTTTGATACACGTATATAATTTTTTTTAATTAAAATAATATTTAAAAACATATATATTTGTAGCGTGGATGAAAACCTAGTACCTTACAAAAGGCCATGCGTTCAAAATTTAAAATGGTAAAAAGGTCCAGTTTAAAAGAGGTCATGAGATCGAAACTTTAAATAGTAAACGGCTAAAAAATTATTTCTTTCTTACGGCTTTTTAAGCTCAAAACCGATTATGATTACGCCAAGTCGCAAACACCAGTTTTACTTCGATCTGCTTTAGAATCAAACAGCAGACAAACTTTTTGTTTGTTAAAGAACAGCAGACAAACTTGCTAAAAGTTAACTTCCATGGATGAAGAATGTTTCACATAGTTCAGAATTTTCATTAATAAAAAAAAAAAGTCGCCTGATGGGAAAAAGAAATAAAAAAATGTGCTTTTTATGGCGTCTGAGTTGTCACGTAAAAGAGAGATAATATTGATTCTTCCTGCTACGTACGTTATTTTCTTCCCAAAGTGGAAATAACGAAAGATCTGAAACGAATGGACCCAAAAAATATCTAGGGTGGAGCAAAACCACACATATCAAATAAATATATCTTTCTGGCCAAAATATTTATAGGAAAAGTCTGGAAAACAACACAAAACTTTCGTTATTACTAGAATAACCTACCATATCCATTTTATCCTTGTAACTTTTGTGGAAAAATGTAATCACAATACTGCCATTACTATTTATAAACTACGTCCTCAAAAGTTTAATTTATTTACAAAAAACCCAGCATGCTCAAATACAAAAATCTATCAATGTTTGATGGCAATATATATTTTTTGGGTAGAACCGTAGATTTATTTTTATGGCAATATATATTTCTTGGGTAGAACCGTAAATTTATTTTTGGGTCAACAAATTTGTTTGGGTATCGATAGATTTGTTTGATGGTGTATAGACTTATTTTGGTAGATTTATTCTTAAGTGTTGTCGAGATGTTATAGGTTGATAGATTTTGTAAATTTCGGGTAGATTTGTTTGTAATGACGGTAGATGTGATACGAGTTGGTAAACTTTTTAACTGATGGTTGACTTTTGATTGACTTTTTGGTAGATATTTCACCACATTGGTAGATTTTTCATCTTTGACGGTAGGTTTATTTTGTCTGAGATAGACTTTTGTGTAATAATAGTAGACTTATCATTGGATGGATTTGATTCTCAATAATGGTAGATTTATTTTTAATAATGGTAGATTAATAATATTGTGGTAGATTTAAGATTGTGTTGGTAGATTTAATATTATCTTGGTAGATTTATTTTTCAAACGGTAGAGTTGTTAGTAAAGACGATAGAGTTAATTAACAATAACATATGGTTCCTAGAATTCTAAGTGTAGTATATTTATTTGAAGAGATGGCAGATTTTTTAACATTAGACAGATTTGTACAAAAATTGGTAGATTTATCAATAGTGACGGTAGATTTCTATAAAAATTTGAGAAACACGAAATTGATATACTTATTGTAAATTGGTAGATTTAATTATAAATAGGCAGATATATCTGTTATTTGTAAATTTATCTAAAACTGGTAGATTTGTTATTTATTATTGATGGTAGACTTGTCATTTGTTGAAACTATAGGTTATCAAATGATGATTTTGCCCATCTAAAACCTTTTATTTTTGCAAAAAAAAAACCAGGCACCCATCGTGAAGATGATTATCACCGGTCTAAGTATGAGAAAAATTATTGTTTGGTGGTAGATTTATTGTAATGATGGTAAATTTATTTTGATATATGAATTTTTCAAGTACTAAAATGTCAATAATTGTACTATTACTTTAATCTACATTGAACCATATATTAGGATATTTGGGTATTTGCTAGACAATCGCTTGATCGTGTCTGAAATGGCATATGAGTTTTGTATTTTTTTGTGCTTGTTTGTTTTCTTTCTATGCATTTTAATTTATTTTTTTCATATTACTGGGTTGATTCATATGTTTTTAGTTTATAGCTCACTCATTTTAATTATACATACTAAAAATTATTAAATTACTATTTAAAATAAGAAAACCTATTACCATTTCAAATAAATCTATTAAATTCTAAATTAAATTTACCATCAAGTAAACAAATCTACCACTATTTAAGCAACAAATCTATACATATTTTTTTGATAAACAAAACTCCATTTTCTTGCCGGTAACTTGACTCCCCTTCCAACATATAGCCTATCTTTTGATCCACCGTTCGTCGTCTGTCACCTACTAGAGAAAAAGATAAATACACAAAATTCAAAATAAATTACCATCATTTCAAAAATAAATCTACTATTATATCAAAAATGCATCTACCATCAATATATAGTAAAACTACACAAAAATAAATCTACCATTAATGAAAATTTACAAATAACTCTACCATCATTGAAAGAATTTCGTCGAACAGTTGGTGGACGTATCTCTTAAATCATCATATTAACTAAAAACACAAGCAAATAAGCCAAGGAGAGAAGATCTTGTGGAAGGGCGGAGGAATACATCTGCTGGAAGGCAGTAGATATAGTAAACCTACACAAAAATAAATCTTCCATCATTTGAGAATAAATCTTCCATCATTTGAGAATAAATCTACCACCACCAGGAAATTAAATTTACCATTATGAAAATCTACCAATAATTCTACCATCATTGGTGGAATTTAGTCGAACACTTGGTGGGTGTACCTCTTGAATCATCATATCAACTAAAAATACAAGAAAATAAGCCAAGGAGAGAAGATCTTGTGGAAGGGCGGTGGAATACATCTGCTGGAAAGCAGCGGCGGAATAGATATGGTGGAATGCAACGAAGGATAATTTTTTTAGTAGCAACTTTAGAAGAGGAGGTAAAAGTGGGAAGGAGGTTCTCTACAGTGGAGCATATCTGGTGGAGTAGACAGTGGAATAGTCAGAATCAACGTCGGTTGGAGATACACTCACAAATTGCCATTAATGGAGGAGAGAAGAAGAGAAAGAAGAGAGAGAAAGAAATTGGAAAGAAGAAAAAGAGAGAAGATAAAAAGAGGAGAGAGAGAAAGTGTTGGTGAAGATGAATTTTTTTTCAAAATTAATTATATTTTTGTTAAAAATAAATAAAAATAGCATTTTCGTTATTTAAAATGAAAAAAATGCTGTTATTCAAACTTAGAACAAAGTTATTCTAGTAAAGTGGTTATTTTTGAAGGTTGTTCTAGTAATTAATTCAATATTTATTGTAAACAACTTGATAAACGAAAAGGAAAACTAGTGTGCTAAAAAGCGGTGTAGGTAGTTGTTTAAATGGTATTAAGGTGCTAGACGCTTATGACTGTAGCGATTATATTATCTATCCATAGTATAATATTTTCTCTTTTTCATATTAATATTTTCATCCAATTTTTTTTTTATTAGTTACCTAGTTACATTTTTGTTATGGCTATAAACTTTTATTTTTTGGGTGGAATATAACTAGTGGGCGGCTAATTCACCTATAACAGAACAAAATTAAACATTACATGAGACGTAGAAACGTCAAAGACCATAGAAACCATAGAATAGTAATAGTATTATATGTGATCACAAAAGTAGACAGCGCCACCACAAATCTCTGTCTCACTATCTCCTTCCTTTTCAACCTTGTATATTATTTTCCCTTCTTTTTAATTTTTATATATCCCTCTGTAATCTCTTCTTATAGATACAAACATCTAAACCAAAGAAAAATAAATCCCTATTGAACAAAAAAAAAAAAACCAAAGAAAGATTGTAAAATGAAGAGCACCCATTTGCCTTTTCATTTGCCTGATGAATTCAAGGAACCAATCTCTCCAAGAACATCCTCTCACCAGAAACAAAACAATGAGGTCACGAAGACATGTTTGCCGGTGAGCATCACGAGTCACCGGAATATTCAAGAACAGCCGGAGAAGACGACGGTGTTATCCGGACGTGAGAGGCTGAAGAGACACAGAGAAGAAGTTGCCGGAAAAGTTCCGATACCGGAGAGTTGGGGCAAAGAAGGATTGCTTATGGGTTGGATGGATTTCTCTGCCTTTGACGCTGCTTTTACGTCTAGTCAGATAGTCTCTGCTCGAGCTGCGTTAATTGCAGACGCCGTAGATGATGCCGGAGATAGAGGAAGAAGGCCTCAACGGCTCCGAGTTGAGACCTCTTGTTGATTTTCAATTTCTTAGAGAAATATTTATGCAAATAATACACATCGGAAATGTTGGATGTTTTTAGATATCAATCTTTATATTGAATTTTGGATATTGGACCATTGATACAACCATTCAAAGTTTTCAATTAGTAATTGGATTGATTTATTTAGGGAATTGCCTGTAACAAACATATATTTGGCTACATATTATCATTTATTTAATTTATATTGCAAATTAAGAAATATCATTTGGGAATATGTATTAGTGTGTATGTTTAGTACTTTAGTGTTTACTAAATTATGGATTGTTATATTATCTTTTAACGGGTTGATTTCCCTTTTTGTGGAATGTCATGTATTTATTGATCAGCTTCCTCTCTTGAATAATATACTTGTGTTGGCCAGAATTTTTTTTTTTAAAAAAAAACAATATCCGTTTTTCATAGTTTTCTTCTTTTCTTTTTAGTTTTCTTCTTTTCTTTTTAGTTTTGTTTTTCTAACATGACTTTTTTCGAACGGTTTTAGATTTGTACTTTTCAACGTTCTCATCAAACTCTGTATTATAAGTTTTTTTTTTGTAGCTCTGAATTATTTCTGATATTTTCTAAACACTCACTACTCTGGATATTTTAAACTCTTAATGTTACTACTTTGCTTAGGTTTAATACTAGATGAAAAAAGTTTAAAATGTTCGCGAATGTTTAACCTAACACATTTTCCATGACCTTTTTTAATCGGCATGTACAATAAACGATAACTTATCCTAACAACAAATCGGCTAACCCGATGGTAATTAATTGTGTTATATATCTAAATAATGTTGTTGAAATTGTTCCTTGTTCGTTCGGCTTACCCGATGCTAATTTTACTATGAGTCTATGGCTATGCAATGGGATTTGTGAGAAAATATGTGGCTGAGAGGATTAATATTTATACTCCTAGCTTGAAGTATTCTGTGACCTCTGCGAAGTTATAAAGAAATCAAAGACTCTTCTTTTACCATCATCGAGGACTTGTGTGTTTTGTTGTGGGGATTATACGAAAACTTTGATTGGTGCGGATGAAGAATGTAGTGGGGAGGTGTTTCAGATGAAAAAGGAACGAGGCAGCAATTAGTAGTAGTTGACGAGAACTATGGTATCGTCGTTTTAAGTTCCCTTGATTTGAAAAAAATGGTTGATATAGACATCAGTTTATGATATCTGTTATCGGGTTAAATAAACCATAGATTTTTTTCATGAAAATGATATGAAAATTGCTAGGTTTTTAAATTTGATTTATTGTGATGTTTGGAGACAGTATCACACTCCGTCCTCTTACAAAGCTATTTTTGGTTTTTTAATTAATGATTACTTACAAGCAGTCTGGATATATATGTTAGTAGAATACGAGAAGTTAAACTCTTAAGAACTTTGAATCAAAGTTGTAAGGAGTGACAATAGCCAAATATAACTTCCGCATTTTTTATACACGTTCCTTTAATAATAGAAAACACATTGCATGATTGAAATAATGAAAAACATGCTGGTATTAATGAAAACATGCTCTAGTAGAATAGTGTTAGGGAAAACATGCTGTAAATAAGCATGTTCTCTGCACGTCTTGGTAATAAAATAAACGTGCTCTTCACATCTTGGAAGTTGAACGAGTATGTCACCACCAACACTCACCCTCATCAAATATTACTATATACATTATGATTTGCGAGTACAATTCAATTTTTGATTGCTTTAGTTTGATATGTTCTCCTTTCTCTTTTACCAAAAAAAAAAATGTTCTCCTTTCTCCAATCCCCATGACTAAGAAACGAAGCAACGACTTAGTTCCCTGACTTAGCTCCCTATTTATTATAAAAAAATTAGACGACTTAGGCTCCTATGTACTTAAAAAAAGACCAAGGCTTACTATTTAATCACACTATCACTTGCATTGGTAAAAATATATCTGAAAACAACAACAAGTAATCAAGAATGGATCTCTTCTTGATTATAGCCACCGTGGCAGCCGCAATGGTAGCCTACTTACTCCTCCGGTGCACCACCAAGAAATCTCTACGGCTGCCTCCAGGGCCAAGAGGTCTTCCTATAATTGGAAACCTCCACCAGATGGAGAAATTCAATCCACAACAATTCTTCTTCCGTCTCTCCAAGCTCTACGGTCCGATTTTCACAATGAAATTGGGAAGCCGTCACCTAGTGATGATCTCCTCGGCTGAGCTAGCCAAGGAGCTCCTCAAGACCCAAGATCTAAATTTTACTGCTCGTCCTCTCCTCAAAGGGCAACAAACGATGTCGTATCAAGGCCGTGACCTTGGTTTCGGACAGTACACAGCGTACTACCGTGAGATGAGGAAGATGTGTATGGTGAATCTCTTCAGCCCAAACCGAGTGGCAAGTTTTCTACCCGTTAGAGAAGAAGAGTGCCAACGGATGATGGACAAGATCTACAAAGCCGTAGACCAATCGGGGACCGTTGATCTAAGTGAACTTCTCTTGTCCTTCACCAACTGTGTTGTCTGTAGACAAGCTTTTGGGAAGCGATACAACGAGTCCGGAGCCGAGATGAGGAGATTCATTAGCATCTTGTTTGAGACTCAGGCCTTTTTGGGAACTCTTTTTTTCTCCGACCTGTTCCCTTATTTTGGATTCGTCGACAACCTCACTGGTCTCAATGCGCGTCTCAAGAAAGCTTTCAAGGAGCTCGACACTTATCTTCAAGAACTCCTTGATGAGACTCTTGACCCTAACCGCCCTAAACCCGAGAGAGAGAGCTTCATTGATCTTTTGATGACGAGCCACAAAGATCAACCTTTCTCCGTCGAATTCACCCACGAAAATGTCAAGGCCATGATATTTGTTCGTAACTCACTCACTCACTCATTCACTAACACATATTGCAATTTTTTATTAATTTTTCAAACTCGTATAAATTCCTAGAGGTCATAATTTCTACATTTGGAGGCAAAAAGGATTTTTTGTTTTCAAAATTAGGTTTGGTTTTGGATAACAAGTACTCAAAAATCCAGTTTTAACTTATTATTCTAGTGCGTAAATTAAAAAAAAATATATATTTTACTTAGTGTATTAAGAAGAGATAAAATAATTATTTTGATACTTTTATTTATATCTGTGAAAAATGGTAGAATGACATTTTTTTTAATATATGGAATATAATTGTGATTAACACTGTTATAATTTGATTAGGATATTGTCATGCCCGGAACTGACACGGCGGCCGCAGTGGTGGTATGGGCAATGACTAACCTCATAAAGTACCCTGAAGTGATGAAGTAAGCTCAAGAGGAAGTGAGAAATGTGGTAGGCAACAAAGGATATGTCTCAGAAGAAGACATACCAAATCTCCCTTACTTGAAGGCTGTAATTAAGGAGTCTCTCCGGCTCGAACTAGTCATACCCATTCTTCTACCCAGAGAAACCATCGCAGACGCAAAGATCGGTGGCTATGATATTCCTGCGAAGACCATGATTCAGGTGAACTCGTGGGCGGTTTCTCGTGACACGGCCGCGTGGGGAGATAACCCTAATGAATTATTCCGGAGAGGTTCATGAACGAGAAGAAAGGAGTGGACTTCAAGGGACAAGATTTTGAGCTCCTACCTTTCGGGTCAGGCCGGAGGATGTGCCCTGCGATGCATCTTAGGGTCGCAGCTGTAGAGATACCTTTCACTAACCTTCTCTACAGATTTGACTGGAGTCTACCTAAAGGAGTTAAATCGGAGGATATAAACATAGACGTCATGCCCGGACTCGCTATGCACAAGAAAGACCCCCTTGTGTTTGCACAACGGAGCTACATTTGATCTGGTACGATTTGGTGCGGTGAAGAACATTCTGGCGGTGTATATATATGGCGATTAGTGGCTGTTTTTAAAACCATATCGTATCATATCAGTCAATGATATGATAGCAATCACATTAACTTCTTACCTTAATGCTGATTCTGTAAATTGATTCTCTGTGTATCTCTTTAGGAATGTTGATACGCTCTTTGAGCTATATAACTCTGTATTGTCTTTGTGAATAAACACCAGAAACTTCTTCTCCAATATCGTTCTTTACATTTGTTCATGGTATCAGAGCTTGACAAATCTATTTGAAATTTCTCTCAAAATTTTCTTTGTTTTTTTTAATTCACGAAACGATGTCTGACGAAACCGCAACACCGATGACGACAAACTCAACCGAAAACCCGACAACCATGGAGGTAAGGAGATCAATTTCTCCTTACGACTTGACAGCCGCTGACAACCCCGGCACAGTGATTTTGCATCCTTTTCTCAAAGGATTGAACTACGATGAGTGGGCTTGTGGTATGAAGACTGCTCTCACATCTCGAAAGAAATTTGGATTTCTGGATGGGTCAATTCCTCGACCTGCAGAAGGATCTCCAGATTTAGAAGATTGGTGGAAGATTCAAGCTTTGCTTGTTTCCTGGATCAAGATGACCATCGATCCTTCTCTTCGCTCCAATATCTCACATCGTGATGTTGCGAAAGATTTGTGGGATCATCTCAAAAAGAGGTTCTCGGTGACAAATGGGCCTCGGATCCAACAATTGAAGGCTGAATTGGCGTGCTGCAAGCAACACAGACTTGCTATTGAAGCTTACTACGGAAAGCGCAATAGGATTTGGGACAACATGGCACAATACAGGCCGGTGCATGTCTGCAAATGTGGAAAATGCGAATGCGATCTGCGTACACTCCATGAACAGGATCGTGAAGCAGAAAAGGTTCATGAGTTCCTTTTTGGCCTTGATGAAAGTTATCGGACCGTCAGATCCACTTTGGTATCTCGTACACTGATTCAACCCCTGGAAGAGGTCTACAATGTTGTTCGACAAGAAGAAGATTTAGAGACGACGGTTCACAGCACTGAAGAAATGCCAGAAGTGATGGCTCATGCGGTTCAAGCCAAACCTCGTGTGACTCTTCCTCGTAATGATGCTTCTGATGGTTATGTTCTTTGCAAGCATTGCTAACACTCGGGCCATTCCTCTAATTCCTGTTTTGCGGTCATTGGACATCCGGAATGGTGGGGTGAGCGTTCACACAGCAGAGTCACACAAGGAAGAGGACGTGGTGGTGTTTCTGGAGCTGCAACAACTGGTCGTGGGCGTATTAATTACGCTAATGCCGTTCATGTTCCTCATCAGCAAACACAGGAACATGTGAATTATACCATCACGGACAGAGATCGTGATGGTGTAAATGGACTCAATGACACACAGTGGCGTGCATTGATGAATCTTTTGAATGGAGGAGCAAGCATAAGCTCTGAAAAACTCTCGGGTATGTCTTCTGTTTCTTCTTGGATATTGGATACAGGGGCTTCTCTTAACGGATGTTAGAGAAATAGATCCAGTTCGGATTATATTGGCTGGTGGTAGAGAAAGAATTTCAGTTCTAGAAGGAATGGTAGTCTTGGATTCTCATTTGACGTTGAAATCAGTATTTTACGTTGAAGAATTTCATACCGATCTGATCAGTTTAGGACAGTTGATGGATGAGAATAAGTGTGTGGTGCAACTAGCTGATCAGTTTCTTGTTGTCTAGGACCGCGTTTCGAGGATGGTGATTGGAGCGGGTAAGAGAGAATCTGGAACTTTCAGCTTTCGCAGAACAGAGCTTGTAGCATCAGTGAGGACTCGAGATGAGAAATCTTTTTAGTTGTGGCACCATCGGATGGGACATGCTTCTGCTCAAGTTGTTGGTTCAATTAAGAATATTGATGTTTCTGTTACTGATGTTTCGAATAATGCGTGTGATGTTTGTTTCTGCGCAAAGCAAACTCGATCTCCTTTTCCGATTACTATCAATAAAACTACTGAAGTTTTCCAGTTAATTCATTCTAATTTATGGGGTCCGTATCGGACGGAATCGAATTGTGGTGTGCGATACTTCTTAACCATTGTAGATGATTTTTCTCGGTGTGTCTGGATTCATCTTCTTTCCGATAAAACAGAGGCACCAATACAACTGAAAAATTTCTTATCAATGGTTGAACGTCAGTTTCAACGGAAAGTTAAGAGCTTTCGTAGTGATAATGGAGCTGAATTCATAAGTCTAACGAGTTATTTCCAACAACACGGGATTATACATGAGACATCATGTGTGGGAACTCCACAACCAAACGGCAGAGCTGAACGGAAACATCGGCATATTCTCAATGTTGCTCGAGCTTTGCGTTTTCAGGCGCATTTACCGATTTATTTCTGGGGTGAGTGTATCCTCACTGCTGGGTACTTGATTAACCGAACGCCCAACTCAGTTCTTCAAGGGATGACGCCATTTGAGAAGCTATATCAGAAGGTGCCAGATTATGAGCATTTACGTGTTATTGGGAGCTTATGTTATACTCATAATCAAGGTTATAAAGGAGATAAGTTTGAATCAAGGAGTAGGAAGTGTGCATTTGTTGGTTACCCATACGGTAAAAAGGGGTGGAGATTGTTCGATTTGGAAAAACAAGAGTTTTTTGTGTCACGCGACGTTGTGTTCTTCGAAAATCAGTTCCCTTTTGCTGCAAAAGAACTGATTTCTTCGACAAGTGAAAATGAAGAAGGCATTTTGTGGGCTCCAATTTCTGCAGACCCATTAATGGAAGAAAAAAACAGGCCCAACAAAATTTTATCTGAACAAAATGGCCCAATTCAAAGCCCACATACAGAAGAAGAAATATCAAGCCCAATTAGAGATGAAGAGAATAACGACACAGCTGCGTCGTCTTCTTAAACTTCGACATCTGATAATTCACCTCCACCGTCTCCGCTTGTCACCACGATTTCGTCACCACCACCTGTACCATCAACGGTGCCTCCTCCTCCACAAGAGTTGCTGGGTCGTGGTCACAGAAACAAGATTCAATCCGTCAAGCTCCGTAATTTCGTGAAAAATACTGCTCAGAGTAAGCTGCTCACGAAATCAGGTGCTTAATCGAATTACCCCATTGCGAATTATGTCTCTTGTGCTCATTTCTCAGATTCTCATCGAGCCTATCTGGCTGCAATTACCGATGGTGTTGAACCGAAATCTTTTAAGACAGCGTTTGAACATAAGCGATGGAGAAAGGCCATGGGTAATGAGGTCGAAGCACTTGAGGAGAATGAGACATGGACGCTCGAAGATTTACCGCCTGGAAAACGTGCTATTGGTAGTAAGTGGGTCTATAAGATCAAGTATAACTCCGACGGGACAATAGAACGGTATAAAGCAAGGTTAGTGGCTCTTGGAAATAAGCAGATAGAGGGTGAAGACTATGGAGAAACATATGCACCAGTTGCGAAAATTGGAACAATTCGATTGTTTCTAAAAGTTGCAGCTGGGAATGCTTGGCCAGTGTATCAGATGGACGTCCACAACGCCTTTCTTCACGGCGATCTGGATGAAGAGGTCTACATGAAACCACTACCAGGCTTCTATCCGAAAGATGAGAAGAAGGTTTGTCGCTTGCGAAAATCCATTTATGGCCTCAAACAAGCTCCTCGATGCTGGTTTGAGAAGCCTAAAAAGGCACTACGTGACTATGGTTTTCAGCAATCTCACGCAGATTACTCCCTCTTCACTTTTGATAAAGGTGCTATTCAGATTCAAATGCTTATATATGTTGATGACATGATCTTAACGGGCAACAATGACGCTGCTTTACAAGTTTTCAAAAACTATCTCTCTTCATGTTACAAGATGAAGGATCTTGGTCAATTGAAGTATTTTCTGGGAATTGAAGTCTCTCGGAATCAAACCGGCTTTTATCTCAGTCAACGCAAGTATGCATTGGAAATCGTTTCTGAAACAGGATTGCTTGGTGCTAAACCGGCTCCATTCCCTTTGGAAGAGAACCACAAGTTGGCTCTCTCGACATCCAAACTCTTATCTGATCCAGCTCTTTACCGACGTTTAATTGGCAGATTCATATACTTTGGCTGTAACACGACCGGATTTAGCATTTTGTGTTCACACTCTGGCACAATTTATGCAAGAATCAAGGGAAGATCATTGGAACTCGGCGTTGTGTGTGGTTCGATACATTAAAGGCACTCCAGGTCAGGGAATTCATTTAAGTTCTGAGAATGATTTTCAGGTTTACGGGTGGTGTGATTCTGATTGGTCAAGTTGCCCAATCACACGTCGGTCCGTAACGGGATACTTTGTTCAACTCGGGGAATCTCCAATTTCTTGGAAAACTAAGAAACAAGACACCGTGAGCAAGTCTTCCGCTGAGGCCGAATATAGGGCCATATCATATCTCCAAGATGAGCTCTTATGGATAAAGAATGTTCTTAAATCCCTCGGTGTTTCTCATGACCAGCCAATGCGTATTCACTGTGACAGCAAGTCCGCGGTTCACATCAGTACAAACCCGGTATTTCACGAGCGAACAAAACATATAGAGAACGACTGTCATACTGTTCGCGACAAAATTCAAAAAGATACCATGATTACTCATCATGTTTCTTCTTCTCAACAATTGGCTGACATCTTTACAAAGCCACTGGGTAGACGCGCAGATGAAACGTTCCGAGACAATCTGGGCATCCTCAATTTGCATACTCCAACTTGAGGGGGGAGGAGGGGGGGTGAAACCATATCGTATCATATCGGTCAATGATATGATAGCAATCACATTAACTTCTTACCTTAATGCTGATTCTGTAAATTGATTGTCTGTGTATCTCTTTAGGAATGTTGATACGCTCTTTGAGCTATATAACTCTGTATTTTCTTTGTGAATAAACACCATAAACTTCTTCTCCGATATCGTTCTTTACATTTGTTCAGTTTTTTTTTTTCAGTGTATGGCAAAGTCTGTCTTTTGCTCTCTTTTTCAGCTTTAACCAATCTATTATATTAAAACAAAAGCACTTTTACAGCTTGTATCCAAACATTCTCAAAGTTTTTCTTTTTAAAAAAAAAATATTTGAAAACTCTTTTAAGATTATCCTATTTTGTTGCGATATTATTTTTAGAAAATATATTTTCGTTTATATATAAAACTAATTCCAAAAATTAGATATTAATTTAGACGACTAAAGATTTTTTTAATATAAGTTATAATTTAAATTTTTTTTTTTTTAATTTGCAATTAAATTTAAATCTAAAAAGTTAGATATTAAGTTAAATTGCTTTAGATGTCTTTAAATATAGTTTAGATTTAATTTAATATTTAAAATTTAAATAATATTTTCATAATAACACATATGATTAACAAATATGTTATTGTATTTTTTTTAATCAAAATCAATCAATCTAAAATTATATATATTTAAAATTGATAAATATTTATATTATATGGTAATTTGATGGGACGTGTTAGATTTTTTTTATAATAATGGTTTTATGTGGGTTAAGTTATCAAAACATGCAAGATATTAAACTAAAAAAATATTTCAAAATAAGTAAATATTTATATTATATACTAATATGAACAAATGGGTTACAATTATGTTTTTATAACCACAATCATTTTCGGATTAATAGAATGAACGAGTTAGAATTATTTTTTATAATAACTGTCTTTTTTTATTAATATAATGATCCGATTATTATTTTTTTTTATGATCACGGTCATAATAATATTATTATTTTTTTAATACAAATTATATATAAACAGAAAAATGAATCTCTGTTACTTATTAAAAAAATTATATCTATAAAGAAAACATAAATTAATTATAAAAGTTGATAAAATTTCCGTGCGGATGCATATGGTAAAATCTAGTAATGTATTAATGTAATAAAATTGAGATGACTAATTTTACGATTTGCTTATGTAATAACTTTTTTTTCCAAAACTTTTGTATAACTTTATAATCTCAATTTGAAATCTATGAAATTGTTGGCTGTAAATAAAAATTTTTTTTTACGATTTGTTTGTCTTATTTGTTTTACAATTTTATAGATAAAGATATTTCCAAATATATTTTTTTCTGTTATCAGCAAAGCGTAGCTCTCCCAGTCATCATCTAGTTCTACAAATTCTATATATCAATAAAAATATATTATCATCTAAAATTGTAGATTACACATTATTTGAAAACTAATATTTGAAAACTAATAAATTTCTAAAATTTTATATGTACACGAACAAAACAATAACACTGCTAGTTTCGAGAATGACCAAAACACCCATACCGGCTTCCGGCTTCACAAGAATCACAACAAGAACAAAGTTAAAGGTCACTTCAGTAATTTTGAAAATTTATGTCTTTTAGCTCTTCTCTATCTTATTAGCTGCTTCGCACTGGTCGGCAAGAACTTCTTCTCAAAAACACGAGGGCATAAAACCGTAATTTCCGATGGGGTCCATGGGGCTAAAGGTAAATTGGAGCTGGAGCTCAGCCTTAATCGGAGCAGCATCAGCCGCAGCAGCAACCTCTCTCCTCAGCGCCAAACCAAAAGATCCAACTTTCCACCTTATCTCCATAGACCTCACCTCACTGAAACTCAACCTCCCTGTCCTCGACGCCGAGTTAATGCTGACCGTACACGTCACAAACCCTAACATCGCAGCCATCCATTACTCCTCCACAACGATGTCGATCCTCTACGAAGGCACGGTCCTTGGCACGGCTGAGGTCAAGGCTGGTTCGCAGCCGGCGAGGTCTTGTCAGCTTCTCAAGCTACCGGCGATTCTCGACGGGATGGAGCTTGCGCAACACGCGCGGAGGTTTCTTGCTGACGTGGCGAAGAGGGAGATGAAACTTCAGGCTAAACTTGATATCGAAGGAGCGGCTAAGGTTTTGTGGTGGGATCATAGTTTTAAGGTGCACGTGGATAGCTTTGTGACCGTTGATCCTGTCTTTCTTGATGTTATTGGTCAAGAGAATCGATCTCAGATGGATTTGTTTCTTGCTTAAGAAAAAAATGATAATTCTTAGTTTTATTGTTTAATCTAATGTTTTCTTTTCAGCTATTTGAGTAAGGCTTTGATCTCATATTCGGTAAATTTGACATGAGTATCCGAATACCAAAATACGATTAGTGTTAGTATAACATTATAAACGATGCTTTTTAGACATCTGAATATATATATTAGATTGAAGAAAATGTTACAAGCATCACTTATACAAATTAATCTCTCTTAGGCAAGCTCAAGGATGCTCAAAATAGGTGAAACAACAACAAGTTCTCCTAATTCCAAAATTAGACTAAGACTACTGACCAGAGAGGATCACAAAGAATGACTAAGTCACATACTGATAAAGAGTTCATGAAGCCATCAAGGATAACCTTAAGTCACATACGTTTGACCACGATTTCCTGTATTGACACTTGGAGCTATGAGAAACGCACCTATGTTTGATGCACTTGCTGCAACTTCCATTGACTAATCATATTTTTTCTTCGAAAAATTGTTAACCTGTAAAAACTGATATCTAAAGGCAGGCCAAGCTTTTGTTATCCTTACCAAATCTGATGCTTCGTTGCAAAAAGCCAAAAACGTTATAAACTATGTAGAGTACAGAGTTTTTCAGTCATATAGCAATAAAATGTGGTATTGCAGAGATCTAAATAGGGACGTATCAGCTATGGAAAATGGTGCACTAACTCCGTTGGTCTAACGTATGGATTGGCTCGTTGTTTTAAGACTAAGTTGAGACACCCAAAACCAAGGAAACCATATTGAATAACTTGATTTGCACTCTACGCCAAACTGATCTTTTAAACAATGTCTGAAAGGAAAAAGAGGAGTGAGTATTTTGAAGATACTCAATGAGGACGATCTTACATGTCCACTTGATCTATACGAAGAATTAAACATAATCATATATATGTTTACTTAACCTAAGATTAGACAAACAACAATCATAAATATTTCACAAGTACACAAAAACCTAGCACACAAGTTCCCACTCACGAGAACGTCACACTGTTTAAATCTGGTGACTCGTCAGCCACAAATCTCACAGGCCCGTCAGCCCTTGTACTGGCCATACTTCCTCTGTGTATGGTCTAGCCATGGTCCCACTTTGCGAAACGTCCTTCGTGAAGACCAGCAAGCAATCTGTCCATAGGCCGGTATCAATCATGCGCTCTAACGCGCTTAGACTAACACCAATCAACAATACATACAACAGTTCTCAAAGAATCATTCATGTTCATTTTAATTATCAATCAATCTCTAATTCTAGATTCAGCACACACATATACAACTATGTCTAAGACAACCTATAGATCCACAAGTCTCGGCTCACCTTTGCCACTTGATGAATAACAAATATGGTTCACCTTAGGACAGATTTGACATCCAATAGAAGAACGATCTTAACTTTCTTGTGACAGCTCGGAATGGGTATCGGAAGAGTGATCTGGAAATCTGGATTAAATATCTTCACGATGGTATGTAGATCGCCATCTGAAGCTTTCTAGATCTCCGGAAAAATGCTTCACAAGTCAGCTGCTCGCGGATCAAACCTTTGCAAATATGGCTCGGGAAAACACTCATAACCTTTATAAGAAAACTCCAAATAAGGATCCGTTTGCGGCTATAGCTAGATTTGAGGGTCTAGAATCATCTTACCAAGTTTCATCCCGATCTGATTTGATTTGACCACCCGATTATCTCTCACTCCAGAACACATCGGATGAGCCTTTTAGATTGCTGCAGTGGCTTCTCCTTCGAGCTGTTTTGATGGTGGCTGCTCAAGCATGACTCCGGCAAGGCTTCGCCGCTCTGATCTCTCTGTCTCCTCTTTGCCACGAGCTCCATCTATTTATAGAGTGAAAGAGAGAACCCTAGGTCTGATTGCAGAAAGTCGGAATTGCCCTTAATGAAATTTTTGAGATGTCACTAACTCCCCCACTTGAAATAAATTCGTCCTCGAATTTGCGGGTTACTTCTCCCCACTTGGAATATCGACCCCACATTCGCGTCTTTCAAAATCATTTCACGTGACATCCCAACGGATATGCTGCGCACTCGATCTCCATGCCCCTCTTGGGTTCTGTTCCATTTTATCAATGTTGAGGTCTTCAACTAATGAACTCGGATTTGGCACATTCTTTTATCCCAAAGGAAATTTGAAAATATTAAAGAAAATAAAATTTTAAAACATTTGAAAATCGAGAAATTATTATTATTATTATTATTATTTTAAATACGAAATTCAAAAATCTTTGTTTTTTAAATACGAAATTCAAAAATCTTTTTTTTAATGCGAAAAATCCAAAATAGAAATAGATTTTTTTTTAAAAAAAACCGATTCAAAATTTGAACAAGTACCAAAATGCCTTTCGGGTCAGAACCGGTTTGGTTAATCTGCTCTGATATCAAATTGAGACACCCAAAACCAAGGAAACCATATTGAATAACTTGACTTGCACTCCATGCCAAACTGATCTTTTAAACAACACCTGAAAGGGAAAAGAGGGGTGAGCATTTTGAAGATACTCAGTGAGGACGATCCTAGCTTTCCACTTGATCTATACGAAGAATTAAACATAACCACATATATGTCTACTTAACCTAAGATTAGACAAACAACAATCATAAATATTTCACAAGTACACAGAAACCTAGCACACAAGTTCCCACTCACGAGAACGTCACACTATTTAAATCTGGTGACTCGTCAGCCACAAATCTCACAGGCCAGTACCCGTCAGCCCCTGTACTGGCCATACTTCCTCTGTGTATGGTCCAGCCATGGTCCCATTTTGCGAAACGTCCTTCGTGAAGATCAGCAGCAATCCGTCTATAGGCCGGTATCAATCATGCACTCTAACACGCCTAAACTAACACCAATCAACAATACGTACAACAGTTCTCAAAGAATCATTCATGTTCGTTTTGATTATCAATCAATCTCTAATTCTAGGTTCAGCACACACATATACAACTATGTCTAAGACAATCTATAGATCCGCAAGTCCCGCCTCACCTTTGCCACTTGATGAATAACGAATATGGTTTACCTTCGGACAGATTTGACATCCAATAGAAGAACAATCATAACTTTCTTGTGACAGCTCGGAATAGGTATCAGAAGATTGATGTGGAAAGCTGGATTAAATATCTTCACGATGGTATGTAGATCGCCTTCTAAATCTTCCTAGATCTCCGGAAAAACGCTTCACAAGTTAGCTGTTTGCGGATTGGACCTTTGCAAATATCGCTTGGAAAAACACTCATAACTTTTAGAAGACAACTCCAAATAAAGATCTCCGGAAAAACGCTTCACAAGTTAGCTGTTCGCGGATCGGACCTTTGCAAATATCGCTTGGAAAAACACTCATAACTTTAAGAAGACAACTCCAAATAAAGATTCGTTTGCGGCTATAGCTAGATTTGAGGGTCTAGAATTATCTTACCAAGTTTCGTCCCGATCTGATTTGATTTGACCACCTGAATATCTCTCACTCCAGAACACGTCGGATGAGTCTTCTAGATTGCTGCAGTGGCTTTTCCTTCGAGCTGTTTTGAGAGTGGCTGCTCAAGCATGACTCCGGCAGGGCTTCGCCGCTCTAATCTCTCTGTCTCCTTTTTGCCACGAGCTCCATCTATTTATAGAGTGAAAGAGAGAACCCTAAGTCTGATTACAGAAAGTCGGAATTGCTCTTAATGAAATTCTTGAGATATTACATAAGTTTTCATAATTTCACTTTTAGAAAATTTGTATTAGATTATCCAACCATTTTATTTAAATATTTATAGTTAAAAAAGAAAATTTTTTACAGAATCCTTCTACGTTATGATATCATCCAAATTAATAAAACCAAATTTACAAGAAATTGAAAACGTGGTGTAAGTACGCGTTCGTCGTGGTTTTGCATGTCAATAATAGGAGTAAAACTCTAGCGCAAGTGTTGTGCATGTGTAATCGGGTCAGGTTATTCGTTAACTGTTCCTGTAAATACTTTTAAATATGGCCTAATCTCCAAGTTCCTCTTAATTTTATTACCCACTATTAATTGCAAAAGCAGTCACACCGAAATAGCCATAAACGGAATTAACTTTCACATATATCAAGCAAGAACTGCCCGTGCAACCATCGTCGCTTCCTGTAAATGGCATTTCGTAGGGTTTTACTCTCTCACCTTCGCCGATCGCGCAACACTTGTTCCTCTCTCTCTCCTCACCATGTCTCCTCCCATTCACATCCGTCGATGGCCATCGGTCTTCTCCAGTCCCGATTGTTTTCCACTCCCAAGGACCTTGACCCTGAGCTGAGTCGACTCAGAGACGATTCGATCGCTGGCCTGGGAACTGGTGGTGGTGGTGGGCATGGATTAGATTTCGGGGACTGGAGCCAGGAGATGATCGGAGCTGGTGCGGCGAACCATGATTTATTGATCCGACATGTTATCTCGTTGCTTGATTCTTACCATGACTTCACTGGATTGCCCTGGTAATACTAATACATAGCTTCTGCTTTCTGATTCTGTTCTCTGCAATTCCTTGAAAAATCCGTGCTTTCAATTTGACACGCCAATTTGTGTCTGAGGTGAAATTACTTGAAAATTTTGTTTCTTTCACATCTTAGTTCACAGAGCAATTTGTGTCTGAGTTTAAATTTCTTGAAAAGTTGTTTCTTTCACATCTTAGTTCGCAGCCCAATTTGTGTATTTGAGGTGAAATTTCTTGAAAATTCGTTTCTTTCTCATCTTAGTTCATAGTCCAATTTGTGTCTGAGGTGAAATTTCTTGAAAAATTGTTTCTTTCACATCTTAGTGTACAGACCAATTTGTGTCGAAGGTGAAATTTCTTGTAAATTTGGTTCTTTCACATCTTAGTTTACAGACCAATCGTCTTGTTTCTCAGTTCATAGTTTGTGTCTGAGGGTTTACGTTAATTTGCCTCAGATGAATTGCCAGGTGGGTCGTTATTGTTTCGTCTACTGTAGCTTTCAGAACAGCTTTGCTTCCTATACTGATTTTGCAGCGCAAGCAAACAAAAAGGATTTCACAGTTCTTACCTCAGTGTGAGCATTTTTCCTCTCCTTATTTTTTTTTGTGGCAGCACTCAACAATGGTGGTTGTGAAAGCGTTTTGTGTGGATGGACTAGTGTCCGTTCACTTTTGTAAATGATTGGATGCTGATAGATTGATAGTGGTTTTATAGTACCCCCTTTTTGGCCTCCAAAGGATTCAGGAAGGAGTGTTATTGAACAATTAATGCTGTTCCGGAACGAAAGAAAAGCTATCGGTTGCCCTTCGTTTTTTTGGATCCCTGCTTATTTCTCCATCCAGGTGATGCTTCAATTTCGCTACTTGTGGATGTAAAAGCAATTGATTTCGGAATTGATACTCTGCATAACATTTTCCCTTGCATGAGTGAATCATGAGACCCTATTTTATGGAACTTTGATGGCTAGTTTTGTGTTATAAGTGCGTCATTTAGTTATTACCAACATTCTCAATGAGTGTTCTGTAACGTTCTCAGTGAGTTCGCATAACATGAAGCATAGTTTTTTTAGTGGAAAGAAGTTATAAGCTTACTCTACCTTCTTCTTCCTGCAGATTTCTTGTTTTTTCATGTGGATAACTAGTATTAGAAGAATGTCACTTGATCACCATCCTGGCTTTGATACGGTAAGTCGCCAATATATTGGGATCACTGGTACACATGCTTTGATATTGTTTTCTTGTATTTCAGGCGTTCTATCGTCATTTAGTCAATGTTTTCTGCCGTACATTCCTTTAAAACGGATCCTTTGTTTCATTGCTTACAGGGTGGGTCACTATGGTTCCAGAATTTGACTGAAATTCCCAACGGTCTATATGGGCCACTTTTCCCCTTTTTAATAGCTGGTTTGCATTACACAAACACACAGGTATATACTATTGTTTCTTAAGGATCATGGAACCTTGAGTGTCAGTTATGCTACATCTCATCAGCTGGAGTCATTTTTAGTGAACTATAATTCAAGATAATATCTGGATTCTTGCATGTTTGACATATATATAAATCATCCTGCAGGTAGCTTTTTCAGCATCCTCAGTTCACAAAGTTGATAAATTCACGGAATTAGCGAAAGTGAGTTTTTCTACTTTGCTATGCAGTTTAACAATCGGAAGGTTATATTTGAACAGAAACATTTTTTGCAACTGTTTGGCCAGAAAAGTAACTATCCTCGTATTAATTAAAATACCAATTGCTACCGAAAAAGAAAAAATCAAGTGTTTTTATGCATGCTAATTGACAATTGATGGGTGTTTCTGTTTTCTTCTGCAGGTTTTCAAGATATTTTTGAATATTATGACATTTGCTTTTTATTTCCTTGCATTCCAAATGCCTCAGGTAAATTAATCTCTTATCATGTACCTTCTAAAGTTCACATATTCTTGTTTTCGGTTACGTTTGTATATAATACTGCCAACTTTGGGTATGATTTAGATAGTTTACACTTCTACCTGTTAATTTTTTATTTATTTCATCTCATTTTTGTTTCACAATTACTTCTCAGGGAAGTCTGCTTTACTGGTCTACCAATTTGTCATTCAGCATAGCTCAGGTTTGTTTTAATGATTGCAATCTAACATCTCCTAACTCTGTCTGACTTTTGATGCTTGTCGAATGTTTACTTTGTGTGATGTGGTATCTATTGGGACTAGATTGCTTTGGACTAAATCTTTAATATACAGTAAATACGTAAGTGCCCTTCGATTTTCTCATATAGTGCATTGACTTTGTAGCAATCAATCCTCAGACATCCCGTTGTAAGTGCCAAGTTGGGCCTACAAGGAAATGACACTGTCCAGAAAGAGGCTGGAAATCCTATATTGACAAATATAAATGAAGCTAAACTCACTGATCCATCCTCTAAAGGGCGCTTGATCTCGGTGCATAATTTGACCCCTAAGGAGCTGGTTGGTGTAAGTCAATGTCATGGATCAGGGTGTTCTAACAATAATTAGTCTTTCACATCTTTGTTAATATATATTGTTAACATCTTTTCTTAACAGCTTTCTACCAAATACTTATCTGGAGGGCACAAAGAAAAATCAATTCCGCTATTAAGGTAAACTGTCTAGCTACAATTCGTTCTTATCATGCAAAGGTTTTCCTTGGATCGGTACTTGTCGATGTGGCTGTACTTGTGAGTCATAGTTGTGTTATTTTTTTTCAGATTGGCATTAGAAAAGGATCCTGAATATCTTCAAGCTATGGTTATTCTTGGTCAGGCTTTATATCAGAAAGAACAGTTTGCTGAGGCTGCAAAATACTTAGAGCAGGCTGCTTCAAAGGTGTGATATTGATGCACTCTTTCGAGAATTAATTAAGAAACATATTATTGGTTTGACTTAACCGTATTAAGAAACATATTATTGGTGTAACTCTGTTCCTCTCAGCTTATTGATGCCTGTCCAACAGAAGTTGAAAAAGTCGATCTTTTAATCGTTGCATCCCAATGGGCAGGTGTCTCCAATATACGCCAGGTACTTGCTTTCCTCTAGATCTTTGGTATATATACACGTTGATGCGAAGAAACTCAAAGAACGAACACTCATGGCTTCAGGGAAAGACATCAGAGGGAATCACACACCTTAAAAGAGTGGCAAACATGAAAGAGCCTGACGATCCCAAGAGCAAAGCTCATTACTTAGACGCATTGGTACTCTACTCAAGGTAAAAAGAATCAAAACTGTTCTCTGAGAAAGATATTTTGGTTTTTTTTTTTAATCCTCTTTGTGTGTGTGCGCAGTGCTATATTTAACGAAGGAAGAAGAGAGGAAGCAGCAAAGTACTTGAGAAGAGTGGTGGCTTATGATCCATCGTTCAAGGAATTATTGAAACAATGTGAAGAAGATGATGATGATACCACTACCATTGCCAATTCAACTTCTTCATCTCAATCTACCCACAAAACCTCATAACTTTCTAGCTTTTTTTCTTTGTTTTGTTTCACCATTTTTTTTTTCTTTTTATTAGACACAAACACTTAGCAATACATAAAAGTAAAGCAGAAATACATTTTATCAACCATTCTTGAAACACCATGATCTATCTCTTACTAAATGTGACTCTAAGCCCATGTTTCATGTGAAGAATAAGACCAGAAAATGGCTCAATCTTCTGTCCCTTTACGACTTCAATGTCATAGTTTTGTAATATCTCAACAACTACTGTCTTCAACTGAGTCATAGCCATATTCTTGCCAAGACAAGCTCTTGGTCCAGCATTAAACGAAAAGAACTTGTGAGAAGGCTCATGTCTTATTCCTCCGGTCGCGGAAACCCACCTCTCTGGCTTGAACTCCAATGCATCTTCACCCCAAACGGCTCTCATCTTCCCCATCGCATAAACAAAAATCATGATCGTTGAGTTTGCATCGACTTTATGCCCACTTGGAAGAACATCTGGTTTGATTGCTGACCTGCGTTGGAATGGAACCGGTGGATAAAGCCTCATTGACTCACACAATGCACCGTGTAAATACACCAACTTATCCAGCTCTGCAAGATCGTAAGGTGATCTCTCTTGACTGTTTCTTGATCTTGGTAGATTCTCTTGGAGCTCTTGGTGAATCTTGGTCAACACGTTAGGGTTTTCAGACAAAAGCCAGAAGAACCAAGTGAGTGTAGACGCAATCGTGTCTCTCGCCGCTAAAATGAAACCTACAATGACGTCTCTAAGGAGTTTATCATCAATAGGTTCCAAGAGACCGAACTTTATGAAGAATGTTAAGAGATCCACAAAATCTCCATTGTTTGAATGATGTCGTATTTCATCTCTCTTATCAGTTACGTATTTCCCACACAAACGATCAAAGACTGCATCAGCTTCTATCAACTTCTTCTCTTGTCCTAATCCCATCTTCTTTTGCAGCTTCCATAGGAATCTTGGCATCATGTGCCTATATATGATCGCTACTTCAACATCTTCTAGGGCATTAACGAACTCATCGTTGGCCATTTGTACTGAGAGAGATTTAGGATCAGACGCACCAATTGTAATTATAGATGTATCGAAGGTGAATCTCCGGAACACATCTTGAAAGTCTACGACCGTTCCTTCATCTGCGAAATGATCGAAGAGAGGAAGAAGTTCGTCTTTAAGTTTACTTCTCGTGGCGAAAATAGAAAACGTTTGAAACCTTTGATCATGAAGCATGGCTTGATAACACTTCCTTAGATTATTGCATCGCTCTGAGTCAGAGTTGAGTAGTCCGTTTCCGAAGATCTCGAAAACTTCTTGGAAGTTAGGACCTTTGATGTAGTTGGAGTAGCTTGAGGTCATTATATGATGGATATTAGCCGGATCAACCGTGACTAATATATCCATACCAGTGAACCACGGGCCTTTGAATGGCAACGTCATGTTGTAGTTCTCGAGAACCTCGACACCATCGTAGATCCGGTTCAGTCTCACGAGCAAACCCGGAAACATCCCAAGAACCGGCCAGTTCCAAGGGTAGCTCTGAAATGTTTTCTTGATGAGGATGTAATCAAAAGGTTTCTTAATGAGAAAGAGATAGAATATGAGAAAGGAAAAGAAAACTATCGATGCTTCAAATAAGCTAATCGAAGCCATTTAGATAAGTTTTTAATTTTGGATACAGAAAGAGAAAGAAAGATAGATTGATTTATGGACGGTGATAAGACAGGTGAGTTCTAAAGTCCTTTGTTTCACTACATCTATATAAAGGGCCAAATGGTTTGTTTTAAAAAGAAAAGTTTGTTGATAATATTGAAGTGTCATTGTTTAAAATGTTTAAAATCAGTGTTGACCTTTGATAGTTTGATTTATCAACTCTGGACCATGATTTTCTCTCAATATTAATGTTGATGAATATCTTCCTTTATCTTATGGACACATGTAATCGAGAATTACCATCTCGTGCCACGTGATCTAAAATCTAAAGTGTCAATATCTATCAACTTGTGCCATGTGATATAGACAATGTAAACATTTCACAATGGTCACCAACTCGTGACAAGTGATCCGAAAGAATGTGAATATTGATCAATTTGTGCCAAGTTATTTGGAGACGTGTGGAATTAAGGGATGAATGGTCCCTACAGGGACAGAGAAACAACCAGCCAGGTGACCAGGCATCTAGGTAGTCAAGAAGCCGGGCATCAAGGCTGCCAGATGATCCAGAGACCAGACACATTCAGACGTCTGGGCAGGTAAAAAAGCAATCTGATGGTTCTTTAACATTAGTATTGTGCAAAGTAAGTAGAGTATCTTCATATCTACAGGATATCACCCTTATACAGTAAACTCACATTTCGATCTTGAAAGCAATGTGTATTAAATAATCATGTGGAATTAATGGTAAGTGAATTCCTATATATACGGATCTCATTGATATCAAGCGAAATTGTAGAGTTTTTCTTAATTAGTAAGTAACTACAGTGAATAAGTTTTTTGAAATTTTTTGTTCATGCATTGAGTTTAAAAGTATTATCTAACCTAAAGAATCAATCATTCATGAAGCGAATAACCATATTAATGAGAGAGTAAACAAAACCCAGCAAGGATAGCATTTAAGGGAAAAATAAATCTAACACCACTCAACCATAAAATTAAACCTCACTTAGAATTTAAACCAAGAAGAGCAAAAGCTTTGATCTGAGTCATCAGTGACACTACACCTTTTGAACGATACGTGTTGGAAAACTGCTGATCTGAATAGACCTCACTTAATAAATTAATGAAGGGTTTCATGATAGAAGAAACTTAGTTTTTTTTTTTTTTTGGTCAAAAGAAGAAACTTAGTTGAAGATATTTTTTTGTTGTTGTTGAGGAAATACTCAAAGGGGTTCTTAATGGGGAACTAGCACTGCTACTAAATTTATCATAACCATTTATTTAAGAGTACATTATCGTACATTTTTCACAGTCTCCAATGTTTTCAAATTTGATTTATAATTTTCATGCACATAAGTTTTGTTGGTTACGTGTATCATTAAAAAAAAATTAGAATTGGATACGTGTATGTATCATTGAAGATCTTGAACTTAATTCATTCATTATTTGTTTGTTATCTAAGGTTTTTATTTCTTTTTTTTCTTAAGTTTTTTTTCGTTTTTTTTAAAAATTTTTTTTTTTTTAATAAAAGAGAGTCTAAAAGATATACAAATGTTTTGAAGTTTTTCTGAGGCAAATCAAAATTTCTCTTTTATTGAATCATTCCAAAAATCACAAATTACCATGTTCAGTGACTGAAAACTGCGTTGTTCCACTTTCTCTCCAATGTTTTTGTACATAACATATCTATCCCAAGCTTTCTAGGAAACCGGAGAATCAGACATGTTAGGACCATAGTCGCTATGACCATAGTCCCTTGGTGAACTTCAGGTCTGCCAGTAACGAAAACGCCCAGATAACAATCAATAACATAGACTTAGCTGATCCATATAGCCTGGAAAACTAGATAGAGAGAGGAGTGAGTAATTTGGGAGAATTACTAGTGAGAACCAAACCAGGCTCCCGCCTCATTCATTTATTTTCCACCAATATATTAAGAATAAATCTAATGAAACCAAACAAACACTCTACAAGTGCACAAGCGATTAACAAACATGCGATGTCTCCGTCCCGCCTCTCAATAGGCCAAACCACCTTGTCACTCAGACACAGATCGGCATCTCACCCTGTCACATAGACAGAAACCCGACATACCACATGGACAGCCCCGTGGGTCGTCACTCCACCGGACGAATGGATTATTGCCACGGTCATACAGACGGCACATAACCCAGAAAACAAGACTGCATTCGGCACATCCCTACCAGAAACAGACAATGACTTTTAGGACTTCTACCAATAACTAACCAATCAACATGGTTATCAATCAACCATGCTGGTTCTTCCTTTAATGAGATCTTAGATCTTATTAGTTATATATATATATATATATATATATATATATATATATATATATATATATAGATCTGCCTAGATGCACATGAAAACAGATCTGTCCCACCAGATATAGACTCAACACACCAGAAGAAGATAAAGAGATAAAAAAAAAAGACTTAGATCTAATCTTCACCTTAGCTAGAATTGCAGATCTGGACATCTCACACCAAACCGGCGATAACTACTGGCACAGATCTCCGATCGGGATGAACTTGGTCTTCTTAGAATGCTAACACTCGGGGCTACAGATTGATAGGTAGCCCGTTGCGTAGATCTACACGGAAATGGAATCGGAGATGTCATCAAAATAGACTCAGAAATAGAACCATAAGAAGCCATGGCACCAGAAAGGATAATGGCTGAGAGAAAAGAAACAAGAAGGAACCATAGGACCTATGGCGCCAAGGGAATGTGAAGGCCAAGGATTTAGAACGAAGAGTGATAGACAGAAACGTGAATGAGAAAGAGTTCAAAGAATGATGCAATAAAACATTTTGAGTAAAAATCAAAAACCATTTTATTAATGTGACAAGGAGGAGTATAACATTTTTTTTTTTTTGAAAAGGAAAATTAAAGACAACCTTAGCATAGAATCTAACTAATTCCTAAGAAGTTTAAAAGCAATCAATAATCTAAAAAAATAAAAAATAGAGTTATATTCCTTTGAAATCATTTTTTTTAAGTCACAAATAGAGCTTTGAAATAATTTTCTTTGATGATGAAATCTGACAAGATGAAGCAGAATAGACTCTCCTGGTCTGGCTCAACCCATATGCGGCTAGCTCCTTAACCCGGAGGAAATAAAAGAAAGGAAAATAAGAGGAAAGGAAATAGATACAGAAAGAACATCTATTAAATCAGCGTCTAAGTTGTTGGTTGTTCTAGGTTTGAAAACTTTTTAAAACTTTTTAATAAAAATGTTTTCACAAAATTATTTTTTTGTTTTTTAAAATATGGGTGCGACCTCCTAAGACAGAGCTAGGAGATCTCTCTGGGCTCTGATACCAAATTGTAACATCCCTATCTTATGCTTTCTAGGAAACCGGAGAATCGGGACGTTAATACCATAGTCGCTATGACCATAGTCCCTTGGTGAACCTCAGGTCTGTCAGGAACGAAAACGCCCAGGTAACAATCAACAACATAGACTTACCTGATCCATCTAACCTGAAAAACTAGATAGAGAGAGGGGTGAGTAATTTGAGAGAATTACTCAGTGAGAACCAAACCAGGCTCCTGCCTCATTCATTTATTTTCCACCAACATAATAAGAATAAATCTAATGAAACCAAACAAACACTCTATAAGTGCACAAGCAATTAACAAACATGCGATGTCTCCGTTCCGCCTCTCAATAGGCCAAACCACCTTGTCACTCAGACACAGGTCGACATCTCACCCTGTCACACAGACAGAAACCCGGCATACCACATGGACAGCCCCGTGGGTCGTCACTCCACCGGACGAATGTATTATTATCACGGTCAGACAGACGTCACATAACCCAGCAAACAAGCCTGCATTCGGCACATCGCTACCAGAAACAGACTATGACCTTTAGGACTTCTACCAATCACTAACCAATCAATAGGGTTATCAATCAATCATGCTGGTTCTTCTTCTAATGAGATCCTAGACCTTATTAGTTATATATATATATATATATATATATATATATATATATGGATCTTCTTAGATACACATGAAGACAGATCTGTCCCACCAGATCTAGACTCAACACACCAGAAAAAGATAAAGGGATAAGAAGAAAGACCTAGATCTAATCCTCACCTTAGCTAGAATTGCAGATCTGGATATCTCACACCAAACCGGCGATAACTACTGGCACAGATCTCCAATCGGAATGAACTTGGTCTTTTTAGAAAGCTGACACTCGGGGCTACAGATTGATAGGTAGCCCGTTGCATAGATCTACACGGTTCGCCGGGAGGCGGGAACAGCTAGGGTTTTAGAGAGAAGAAAAAGGGAGTGAAGCTGATGGTGGAGAGGGAAGCGGCCAAGGGAGAGATGAAGAGAAAGAGCCACGGTGAGATAGAGTGAAGGAGGATGGCGTGGCTGAGAGAAGGAGAAGGAAAGAAAAGGTGGCTAGGTTTGTGTCTTTTAGGATTAGAATGATTAATTAGGGTTTTCAGAGATAAGAATGCTATTTATACTTAGGTTTAATTAGATGGGATGGGATTAATGGGATTTTAAGAAGAGATTATGAAAAAGTATATTAAAAAGAAATAAGAAAAGATGGTTTAATTTAATTAAACCAGAATGAGGAACTGGTAACAACCAAGAGTCGAGATGTTACATTGCACATATCTGCATATATGACAATGAAAAACAAGAATGCATGTTGTTTGAAAGAGGTTGGGTAAGGTGGGGAACTAGATAAAGATGAACTAGGCATTCATGATCAATAAAGAGTTGTAAAAAGGATAAAGGAGTCCTGAATGTATGATTCATTTCCCTTGTCTAATGCTTCAATGAAAAAAATGGGCTGGGTTTAATGGGCTTTTAAGAAGAGATTATGAAAAAGTCTATTAAAAAGAAATAAGAAAAGATGGTTTAGTTTAATTAAACTAGAATTAGGAACTGCCAACAACCGATATTTGGTTAACCAAGAGTCGGGATGTTTCATTGCACATATCTGCATATATGACAATGAAAAACAAGAATGCATGTTGTTTGAAAGAGGTTGGGTAAGGTGG